ACTTAAAAAAGGGTATTTTAAACTCGAAAATTTGAATTGTTCTCCAGTTTTTCCACACACGCTGCAAATCTTAATATTTGAAAGAGTGTTTGAAAAAGGTCAACATCTTATGTTTAAGGTATTGCAAATTGTCCTTTGTTAGATCAATTTCAATTTTGGCTTTCTGTGGATCGGTCAGCCATGATTTACGTACATGTACATTGTACATGCATTCCATCAACGCATGTAAACGTATACATGCACTACTACGGACAGAAGATTCTCGTGCAAAATATTCAATTCGTAATAACTTGAAAATACTACCGACGTTATTGGGTCTTAATACACACGGAACTTCACTTCGTATGTTTGGATAAACTGGAGAAGTTGTTTAAAATGGGAAAGACCGTGGACGTATTTTCTTTCAAATCTGATCATGCTTCAATATTTTTTTTCTAAAAAATCACTTTTTCAGAATTTGTTTCAAATTTTGTGAAAAACTGTTCATTATAATACAATGGTTTAATGTTGTCCGATCAGGTTTTAGTTATCTGGTTATCTCTGTGAACTTCAGTTGTTTGTATTTTGTTAAAAATAAATAATGGCCTCCATCCGCAAAAAGAAGTGTCGAAACACACACGCTTGATGAATGGATCTAAGAGGAGGAAAGGGAATTTCATAGGATACAACCATGATGTGCCACCTATGTATGGTCTCCGGAAGGACCACAAAGCAGACAAAGTAGGATGTGGAGGCTCGCTACTGAGGCCAGTGTGCGGGGCAGTAACATCATGCAACAACAGAACATCATTTTTCCTGTCTCAGTTTCTGAGACCGCTATTGAAGGAGGCAAGCACGGCATGCATTAGCACAGCAGATCCCCTGGCATCTAGACACCAGTGCAACTATTAGACAGCGAGAACATGGGAGAGGTCATCGTTGGAGGTATGGATGTGCGGGCTCTTTGCCCTTCCATTAACGTAGAGTTTGCCGTGGAAAAGTGTTGCGATATGTTGATGGAGAGTGACTGAGAGGCCTACATGTACATGAATGATGTAAGACTCTATGACTATGAGCCTCAAGCTGGACCAATTAAGAGAGGACACAATTTTCCGAGCAGTGGAAGCTCGTTTGGTCAAAACTGCACTTCGCTGGTTCACGAACGACAACAAAATGAACTTTTCTCACAATTTTTTTTTGCCAACTGAAGAGGGGGTACTTCTGTTCAAAGTGCGTTTGGATGGTCTGGACTAAGAATTTTTGTGTCACGAATAGATTGTGTATGTAGGTGGCTTATTTCCATCAGGAGTCATTACCCCCAAATATTGACCGGAAACTGGAGAATGGTTAGTTTGAGTATTGTTGCACACACGCAAATCTTGTTGGAATTCTAGCGCACCCTAGTTTTACCAGTCAGCGCGCAGCGTGCCCGATAATGAGACACATGGCGAAGTTTATTTGCAGAGAGTATGACGGTCTCGGACCTTCGAGAATTCACGAGAATTTGCAAGCGTTCGGTAGTGCCCCTCGAAATTAGACGAGAAACCCGTTACGTTGCCAGTGATGGGCCAACATAGAGTGGTGAGTAAAAAACCTCTTTTTTCTGCGTCTTTTAATACCATTTTTTTAAAATGATTATACCGTTGAAAAGGTTATTAATAAGGCTTGTTAAGTGACGTTTAAACACAATTGTTTAAACATGACCTCAACATTTTGAGTGATCTTGACCAGCTCGGGAAATATTTCGAACCATACTTTTTTCATATCTGCAGGTTCCTTTTGATATTTTTATTTCGATTCCAAATATTGACAAATTGAGCAATGCTATAGTCGGTAATGTGCTATGTCAGTGACCAAAATGACGTCACTTGGGAGATTTGTTTGTGCATACCGTGAAGACACGTTCAGCAAAAAATGAATTTCGAACATTTAATCTCCACGATTATGAATATTCAGTTTTCGAGTGTGTTCGTGCATACGCAGCAAATAAACGGAAGGGCTTTCGGACATGCTGCGCGCTGACTGTTAATCGTTCTCGTACCTTGCATTCCCAGGGTCTCTTATTTAGCTCAGCGAAACATTATGGAAATGTTGCAGAGACGCTAATTTTGTATTATTCATGCTGTACTCTGTGTTCCTTCACTCCTTTGTCCTTGTGTTTTCTCTGCTCAGTTTTGGCATGTCGAAATTCCCCTCCACGTGGCTGTGTGGTTGGGCGTGGTACGATTCCCTGGAATGCTAATATTCAGAAACTTCAGACTTTGTAACTGTCAGTCATTAACCACAGATGACCAGGTAAGCACTTTCACGCACCCCGACTTGGATATGGAACGCCAAAGAGGCAAAAACTTGGATGCAACACATCGATCGTTCTTCAACATCGATCGATCGTTCCCCTACATCGATCGATCGTTCCCTACATCGATCGATCGATCTTTTTTGATCGATGAAGAAAGAGCGATGAAAACAAGAGCGATGAAGAAAGAGCGATGAAGAAAGACCGATCAATCGTTCCCCTACATCGATCGATCGATCTCTTTTCATCGATGAAGAAAGAGCGATGAAAAAAGAGCGATGAAGAAAGAGCGATGAAGAAAAAGCAATGAAGAAAGACCGAAGAAGCTACATCGAAGGCAACGTTACGTAACCTCTTCCAGCACCAAATAACTGTGTTCCCAGTAACCATAGCCCACCAGCACACAAGGCTACCCGTGTTCAGTACCCGTAAGTCTGGTCCCGAGCCAATTGAGTTGTCAGATGGGTGTTTATAATCCAGTTTCCTTGTCATGAAACCACTGAGAATATTTCTATTTTCCCCTGGATGGGATGTCAGTTCATTATGGGTCGCTCCCTAGCCACTGTGGGCAAACATATTTACTCCAGGTGGATACGAGTTTTATTATCCACACTGATAACATCCTGGCGAAACCGGCAAAACCGGCTGAACCAGTGGAATTTTTATGTCATTCATTGACCTATTTATCTAGCTATGCACTTCCATAACACTGATGAACACACTATTCCCTTCTGAATTTAAAATATCTTAATCTAATTTGTCCACTTTTTTTCAATACAACCCTTTCCTATTTTCATTCCTGATTCCCTGATACCCCAAGCTAACACCGATGAGGTCGAAAATAACAAATAAAATAAGCATATTGTTAAGCGTAAACAAAGAGAGCGTTTAATCTCGGCCGTCTCATTGATCCTAAAAGACTATCGCCAGGATGTTTAGAGAAAACAAAAGGTTAATTCGTAGCATTTGGACTACAACCGCCGATACAATCTCTGGACATCATCGTTTGACCGATGAGTGAGTAAGAGAGGATTAAAATGAACATAAAAGAAACTTCAGAAGTTTTGTAACCTGTTATTATTACAAATGAAAAAAGAGAAAAGCGTGAACATTTCTTTGGTACTCTGTAAGCATTAACTAAGATTAAGATGAACTTGCGCCAGATAATGTCGATGAGGCCAATGCGAAATTCTTAAATTGTGTATGACAGAAATTTTCCACAGTGTGAGCTCCGAAGTTATACTAATAAGTCAAAACCACTTTGGATAACGGAAGGAATCTATAACTCAATCAGAGAAAAAAATCAGTATAAAAATATTTTCAGAATCCTACAGTTCTTAATAAATCTGCCAACATAAAGTTTAAAAACAAATTAACATGTGTTATAAGAATGGCAAAGAAAAATTACTTCGGTGAACAATTTAATAAAGACAGACATAATGTTAAAGGTACATGCATGGGAGCTTATTAATTCGTTGCTTGGTAAAACAAACGGTAAACAAAGTCCGTCCTATTATACGCAAAATGATGCTAAAATTGATTTTTACTTTGATATGATTATTTCATTAACATTGGCAAGAAAATAGCAAGTGAACTTCCTCAATCAAGCAGTTCATTTGAACACTTTCTTGATGAAAGATGTGCACATTCTTTATTTTTCGCTCCTGTTACCGAAGCAGATGTAGCACTTATTATTTCCAAACCTACCTTATTAGTTTGAATAATGAAAATCAGATCATTTAATCATGCCAATCTACTTCCATTCTTTAAAGGTCTGGTCTCAACATGTAGCACATCTGTCTTTAACTGTTGTCTATCCTGCCAGAGTATACTACTGTGTTGTCTCATGTCTCCTGTCTTATGTTTCTTGTCCAGTGTGAACCATTGTTCGTGTAAATAGGGAAAGCCAAAAGCATATGCTTCTTTTTTCCCTACATGTTGGTAATAATTTAGACTATGTACAATAATATTATCAAACTAAATACACCAGTTCCCATTATGCAAATTTCACTATGCACGTATGATTTTGAGGTACTTGGGATTGCTAAAAACCCTATAATTATAGTTTAATTTCCTTTGGCACTGAGCTTCACGAGGGTTGACTTTTGAGAAGCATTCTAACACTTCCGCCAGAATTCTGTTAGTGTGGAAAATAAAATTCGAGTCAGTAAGAGTAAGAATAGGTGCTGGAGTAAATATGTTTGCCCACAGTGGCTAGGGAGCGACCCATAATGAACTGACATCCCATCCAGGGGAAAATAGAAAAAAATTCTCAGTGGTTTCATGACAAGGAAACTAGATATAAACACCCATCTAACAACTCAATTGGCTCGGGACCAGACTTACGGGTACTGAACACGGGTGGCCTTGTGTGCTGGTGGGCTATGGTTACTGGGAACACATGTTATTTGGTGCTGGAAGAGGTTACGTAACGTTGGCATCGATGTAGCTTCATCGGTCTTTCTTCATCGGTCTTTTTCATCGCTCTTTTTTCATCACTTTTTCTTCATTGATCAAAAGAGATCGATCGATCGATTCAGAAGAACGATTGATCGATGCAGAAGAACGACCGATCGATGTAGGGGAACGATCGACCGATGTAGGGGAACGATCGATCGATGTTGAAGAACGATCGATGTGTTGCCTCCAAGTTTTTGCTTCTTTGGCGTTCCATACTTGGAGACCTGCAAATGGGGTATTGGATAACAGTCAGGAACCGTAGCTCGGTTAAGTGCCCGATAGTCTCCAGTTGCCTGGCGTCTTCTTGGGGAACATATGCAAGGGAGAGGCACAATTGCTGTCAGAGGGTCTGGTTATTCCCAGTTCAGCCATATATTCAAACTCAGCTTTTGTTGTAGCATAGCGGTCTGAGGGCCAACTGACGTGATCGCGCTGACATTGGACCACAGGTGTCGATATGGTGAGTTGTTGTGTGTTTAACAGCGGCACCACGGAAAACTGGACGTTTGATATCTGGGTACTGCCGCAGGATGTCGTTGAAACGCGAGGCCCTCTCCGTTTCAATGAACATCGGGCATACTGAGGGTGTCGAGGAGACAGTCCCGTTGACCGTGAGGCTGGTGGTGGCATCGATGAGCTTATTGTGTTTTGATGTCGACTAGCAACCCGAAGTGGCGCAGGAAATCAGCGCCGAGAATGGGAGTTGGCATATCAGCAATTATGAAAATCCAGCGGAATGTCCTCCGAAGACCATGATTGAGCTTGAGGGACTTTTCACCGCGTGTTGCGATTTGTGACTGGTTAACTGTTTGGAGGGTGAGTGTGCTAGGTGTGCGTCGCTCCTGGGCCATGGACGGCCAGACGCTAACCTGTGCTCCCGTGTCAACCAGGAATCTTGTACCGGTGCCGACTTTATCAGTTACAAAAAAAATAGGCGACCCTCAAACTGACCAACCGTCTTAGTCGGCCCTAGCGGCTGGTCTGTCCGTTTCCCCGGTCACGATCACCTATGTCTGAAGATTGATGGAAGGTGCAAGGAGGTACGCACTTTTTAGCATGCTTACCATATCGCCAGTGGTACTAGCAGTCACCTGCAGCATGACGATGAGCACTTGGGCTGCGTGATTTGCTCCGAGAGTCGATCAGTACGGCTATTCCGCCTGCGTCGACCCCGTTGACGATTGTCAGTAACTTGGCTGGTGAGTTGCTGAACTTGCAGTGAAAGCTGTTGAATGTGCATTTGTAATTGTTGCACTTCAGGTGAAGGGGATGGGGGGTGTGTAGTGTGGGGAACAGCAGCAGCAGTTTGGGAGGGCTGGGCCGATATGGCAGCTGTATACGGAGGGTACGCCAGGTACGGCAACTTCCACAATCTTATCCGCTATGTCTGCAAGCTGTTCAATGTTCAACAGAAAAACGCCAGTGCGAAAGAGCGCGCGTTTGTTGTGCTCTTGCAGGTCAGGTCAGGTCACCGTTAATACAAAAAAATATGTACAAGCACCGTTCGTGTGATTGACCTGTTGTATGGTGGGCCACATGGAACAAGGTTTAAATGGAGGGCGAAGCTAAACAAAATTCGCTTTGTAAGGTGTTGCTACAATGTGATGTTGTCAATCCATTATGTGATGTTGTCAATCCATTATGTGAAGTTCTCGATCCATTATGTGGAGTGAACATACGTGTTCCATTGTTGTTTTTCGCGTACATACATGTGGAAAAATTAAGGCAAACAGCGATCTCACGCGGGCAGCATGATGCATATCAGCTGAACTCGTCCTGATTTACATATAACGCTGCTGCGTGAGGTCGCTGTTCGGTTTGATTTTCCACTGCGAGCGAACGTACATTGTACATGTACAATGTACACAGCGGATATACGTGTACATGTACACGGCAAATGAACTAGCCGATGGAGAGTGGCTAATGACGAACGCTAAGACTGGACCATGGCAACTACAAGTAGTGTGCCAGTGTTACTTGCGTACTGCCTGACACTGGCAGCAGTGCCCCTGGCCGGCGCCAGAGGCCGACTGTCAACAACGTGGTCAATCACAATCGGCATGACCAGGCAGCAATCTGCAACATTACAGTGTGGCCTAACCATAAAATGCAGGGCTTTCTCAATTGTTCCGTATGGTCCCAACACTTCGGAACAAGTTGATGGCTCCGCATCACTTCGGAACAATTCAAAAAGCTCTGCGTTATGGTTAGGAGTAGTAGGGGGCTAGGACAGTTCCAGCGCAACAAAACCCTCACATACCTATATGACCCCCCCTCCGTCGGCCAAAATCCCTACTCCAGATCAACTCTCGCCCACCCCCGAGAAAAGATCACCAGCCGGCTACATCGCACAAAAGGGGCCAAGATTCTCCAGGAAAAGAAAAAGCCCCATTCTCCCTCAAATCGGAAGAATGAGGCTTCGGGAAAAAATTGACTTTAACCTCAATATAAACAGAGACGTCAATACAGAAACTAAATCACAACGACGCCCTGTCTTAACGGGGTTTAGTCGACTTAACAAATCGTTTTATTCGACTTTGTCTAACAGTATAACATTCCATTATCACCAGCTAAACGCAATCGACACACGAAGCCTGAACTAGTACGAGCGATTCAAGCGATCCAACAGCAATTCAAAAATCTCACAAGGCAGTCGTACCGTCAGCTTTTAAAAATAGCCCAAGACAACGACATATCATTCACAGCCACAGGTAAAAACGGTAACGTATTACGAAAAGACCTAATCACCGCGATTAAAGCCTACATTAAACCGGAGGCTATCACAGAGTTAAACATTCGAAGAATCCAACGCTTTCAAGGTAACTACCGAAAATGGGAACTTAGGCCTAGTTTCTTTGCCGACGACCTGCTTCACTTTTTCGATTTCTAGTACATTGAAGTACATTGAAGATAAAGCGTTGGCCGAGTTTAAAGAGAAAGGCTCTTACAATTTGCAAACAGCGATAAAAGTCCAATTCAAAATGGAAAAGCCCGGAGCCAAAACCAAAATCGGCGTTTTCACGTTTACGAGTGAAAAAAATCGTGGTAATTTCTAAACTTGAAGTAAAAAATGCGTTAGAACAACAAAGGGCAAAACATCTTGAAGACGTTGAAGTTCACGAGCAAAAAGGCTCTGGCTGGGCGTTTGAGAAAGTTGTCGCGTTTTACATTAACGTGGTGCGGTATACTCCACTAGGAGCGACTTACATTCCATTACCTAAAGAACTTGAGGTTAAAACAGTGATCATCAACGTTCAAAACAAAATGGATCAAGAGTGCATTTGCTGGGCGTTAAGAGCGGCTTTAGGCTTATATTCAGACAATGTCTAACATCAGCTAGCAACTAACCAAAATTATAGAATAAACAACGAACGCACTTCGACGTACACGACAGGGGGCGGTTTAAATTTCACAGATGTGGGCATTCCAACACCGAATTCCCAAATTCAACGGATCGAATCGCAAAATAATTTGGCGATTAAAGATTCTGCTACACCGGAAAAGAGTACATGTTTACACTTTATCTTTCTAAAAAGGAAGAAGAACCAATCAACTTACTTTATTTTAACCGCAATGAAACAACCCATTATTGTTGGATTAAGAACTTCTCGCGGTTTATGAGTTATACTACCAATCACGACAGCAAACATTATTGGTATTTTTAAATGCTTATCTCACTTTTAAAGTCAACAAAGACTAGACAGACATAAAGAAGACTGCCAAGGAATAGACACGGCGCTTTGCAAAGTCGAATTACCTGTAAAGGTTCAACATATTCTCAAGTTTGGAAACTACAAAAGTAAACAGGACGCCCCCTTTATAATCTACGCGGATTTGCGTCTGTTTTAGAGCGTTTGCCACCCAAAGAAGGAAACACGAATAAAACACAAATTCATAAACCATGTGGCTACTCTTACGCGGTTGTGCGATGAGACGGTCTATGCACTACCCGCGAAACATATAGAGGGCAAGATGCAGCCACTCGTTTTGTAGAATCACTATCCAGAGAAACAAAAACAATTAATGAAACATTTGCCGACCCAAAGCCCCTAACCTGGTCACCCGAGCTACAAAATATCACGATAAATGCAACCATTGCTGGATTTGCGAAAATTCGATCTGAAAAACAAAAGCCTCACAGTGCCAATGTCCTATCCCAGACGAGCCACAAACTAAGGACGAAAAAATCTTTAGCTTCAAAACCGACCGCGGTTGTACAGAGTACACCTGCATGAGCTGTGAGAAGCCCATCAACAAGTTTCGAAAAGTCCGAGATCATTGTCACATCACGGGTAAGTACAGAGGCCCAGCACATACTAATTGCAATTTAAAACCCCGAGTCGTGCCAAATCAAACGCCTGTCCCGGTGTACTGCATAACTTAGAAAAGTACGAAGCACATTTAATCATACAAGACTCTCGAGTTTTTAACAGTTGTAAAATCAGCGTCATTGCTAAAAATACCGAGAATTACGTTTCGTTTTCTTTTGGCCAAATTAGGTTTCTAGACTCGTTTCATTTCATGGCAGCTTCACTCGATCGATTGGTAAAACTGTTCCCCTAGCGATTTAAACCACTCTGCGAAAGAATACATAGACTCATTTGACAGATTTGACGAAACTAGCCTGCCAATTCGAGACGCGTTTTATAGCACGTTGAAAACAACAGTCAACAGTTACTGAAGAAGAACATTCCCGAGCCCAACAAGTATGGCAAGCGTTTAACTGCAAATCCCTAAGGAGACTACCACGATCTCTACGTCAAAACGGACATGCTTTTACTTGCGGACGTAATTGAAAACTTTCGGAAAATCTGTAAGACAAAGTATGTCTTAGACCCGGCCAATTATTACACCTTGCAGGGGCTCTCCTGGGACGCGCTTTTGAAACATTCTAAAGTTGACCTCGAGCTTTTGACAAACATCGACAAGCACCTCTTTTTCGATCGGGCTAAACGCGGTGGCGTCGGGGCCAAAGCAAATAATTCTGATATACCAGACTACGACCCAGACATTCAGACGTCTCACATCATGTACCTCGATGCAAACAATTTGTTCGGCTGGGCCACGGGTCAATCGTTACCCATCAGGAGATTTAATTTGATTAAAGACACGAGAAAGTTTACTCCCGAGTACATCGTGAAACTTTCACCAAGGGCTTCAAAGGGCTACGTGCTCGAAGTCACGCTCGATTATCCAAAACATTTGCACGACCTACATAACGACTTCCCACTAGCACCTGAAAACACTTCAGTCTCAAGTGAGTGGCTTTCAGATTGTCAAAATGATCTAATACAAAACGGGGGACTTATTACCTCCGCAGACAAGCCGGTAGCCACTTTAGGCATGAAACACAAATACGTGGTACACTACCGCACTTAGAGTTAGGACTACAGCTAATAGAAGTCCATCGCGTGATGTCGTTTCAACAGAGACCTTGGATGAAAAGTTAGATCGACAAAAGCACCGAATTGCGCAAAGTCTGATTTCGAAAAGGACTTCTTAAAATTAATGAACAACTCGGTATTTGGCAAAACTATGGAAAATGTTAGATACCGCATCAACGGTCACCTGCTGAGAGACCTACGAGATGGAGACAGGTTCAAGAAACTAACTTCTAAACCGCACTACAAAACGACTACATCATTCAAAGAGTGCGATCTATCATTTATCGAAATGTATCGCACGGCAACCAAATTGAATAAGCCGATTTACTTTGGCATAAGCGTGCTTGATTTATCCAAAACTTTAATGTACGACTTCTATTACAACACGTTGAACGCGGGCTTTGGTGATCAAACAGGTCTTTTGTACACCGATACCGACAGCTTGCTCGTTCAGATTCAAACGGACGATTTATCCGGTTACCTGCGTAAAAAGCGTGAGTTATTCGACTTGAGCAATTATCCGCCAGATCATAAAATTTACGATTCGAAAAACCAAAAAAGTCATCGGCAAAATGAAAGATGAATTCCGCGGTAAACAAATTTCAGAAGCCGCATGCTTACGCCCGAAAATGTACTCAATTTTAACCGTGTACCAAAACTTGAAAAGGGCAAAAGGCGTCACAAAAAATGATAACCCAAAACGGTTAACCCACGAGGCTTGTAAAAGGTGCCTATTTAAAAAATACAACATTTTAATAAACAACAGCTGTTCAAATCGAATAAACATCAGGTATTCACAGTCAGTCAAAATAAGC